CCTCGTCAAAATTGGATTAATTTTTGCTGACTTTATTAATCAGACAGTATAAAGTTTGTGCAACGTTCCTTGCAAACATTTTGAGTTCATATAGCACTGGTAATTGTTTGGCTTTTTAGTTGCGCTATATGGTGGACCCTTCATATATGCAGCCTGGAGAGGGTCGTGTGTTTAGTCAGTATCTTCTGAGTCAGGCGTTACACATTGATGTCTGGGATGGGGATTCACTCCTCCTGATTGGCTCGACCACACTGCCTCTTAAGGTAAACAATTATCCATATGTTACCCTTTTGAGGGTCCGACATGTTATTTATCCGACCTCCAACATGTTATTTCCCTCCATAATGTCAATACTAGTCAAGGATGCAGGTGATTGGAGTGAACAAAGTCGTTAACTAAGGAGGGATATTGCCTTGATGTATTACCAAATTCTCAGAACTGACTTTAAAAGAAACATGAGAATACGTTAGAAGAATTGATATTTTAATCGAAGGGCTTAAAGAATTAAGTTTGTTTTAAGATTACTAAACGTACTGGAATTGAGTACACCGTTAAGTAATAGGAATCATTTTCCGCCTTTCCATCGAGGTACAGAGACACGAGTGGAAGTTTGCGGGGACAAGACTGAAATATTGCGTGAATAAAAGCTTGCAAAGCAGCATTTTCCCGTTCACCCAAACGTTGTTTCTATAAGTCAATACAAACGCAGAGAAAATGTTTCCTATTTGGTTTAGAATGTGTAAGGATAAGAGAGGAAAACCCCGTAACTTTCATTTGAATTCTTTTAGAGTCAGTGTTTCCTGAGAGAAAGCAACATAGCAGGATTTGAATGGTTGACCGTTTTAAACCACTAGTCTCATGTGAACGTCATGGCAAGAGGGATTATAGCAAAGGGTTTTTATCCGTCAATAATCCTCTTTTCAATATTTGTTTAACGTTGTTCTATCCAGCACTTATTGCGTCAAGGCCGTGAGGCTGTGATTGTGGCGCATGAATTGGATGTCGTTACCAGTGAGATTTCCGAAGAAGCACCATCACAGGCTGGAGACATGGTAAGGGGAACAATTCATGAAATGATTACAGGTTTCTCGAGAAATCCTGGTTATACAGCCCTGTGCTCTTGTTACTTCGTAAAGGGTGGTTTTCGCTTGCGCACAAGCACGATAAGAAGCACACGCAGTCACATTAAGATGCTGCTAATTAGCCCCTTTTGTCAAGAAATTTCCTATGATAATTCTTATGTTTCCTTGAAATGAGGGATATTTTTTGATTAATGTGAGGGAAAAAGGGATATCTCTATTATTAACTTGAACTTTGGCGAAATATCCCAGGGAACAATGGGAAAATGGGAAATGGTTAAGCAATCAGGTAAACACGTATCCTCCGCCGGAAGGCCGTCATTGATCATGGGGGAACTCATAACCTTAGTACCACATCCTTTTATCTCTTTCAGACTCGCACGGGAACAATTCGTCCATTTGGTATCAAGTCTGTTGTTGAAGCCAGGCTTCATCTTCGAGTAGCAAACATTGGACACTCCAGCGAAGCACCAAAAGGCAAACTTGGTTAGTTAAGTTCTTTTTTGTTTCTAAAATCAGTTTAGTTGTTCTTGTCTCTCAAAGGGACACCATCATTAGCATAACTTTGAAAAGTGAGGACAATGACAACGATGTCGGCAATGGAGAGGGAGAAGGGGGTGGGGGTGGGGGTGGGGATGACGACGACAGCTGGGAGGGACGGGGGATTGAGGAGGATTTCTTTTCATTTGTTCGTGGCGTTTTCCTGTCACTTGACGTGTACTCGACTTACTGTAAGGAAACATGCGATCATGGTAACACAGTAATGTTTTGAACTACGAGACTACGAGCTTCTGAAATACAGTTGTTGTGTTATGTGTTACTGGTGATATATTCTGTTTGTAAGGTACAGTTCCCAAGAAACATTCCACTGTCGTGGTGTCGGAAACTGTCAGAGAAACAGGAACTACCAATGGGCTAACAGGTTAGTGGTGGTTTGAACCTGCCTTAACATTTAATTCTTACAGTTTGCAGGGTGTGGTACATAATGACGGCTTGGGATTATATAGTCATTTTAAATGCTAATGAAAAGATAAATGACCCTTAAATCACAAAAAGGGCCTTCAATAACTATGCGCTCTTCGATGAAATTTGAAGCTGTCCTTAGTCGCTAAAATGCCTCAAGTTTTTTTTTCTTTCAAGGCAAATAAACGTGTAAATTGTTTCGTTAATCTTGACATGTATATCAAAACGTGGTGATGACTTGGCAACTATTTCGGATTGACTCATTGTGTTTTTGACGTGCGTCAATCATTTGACTGAGACGTTCCGCGTGACTTGAATTGGTTTCCGGAAATCGTTAGACACGCTTGTTACCTAGTCTTCTTTGGCCCGTACTGTAAGTTACGTAAAATCGTAAAAAGCGAAAAATGTTTCTTCTTTTTAGGTTAGTAAGAGGCATATATTTAGAATCTTTAATATGATTAAGACCTTTTAAGTAATATATCAAATACGAGAGACAATTCAGTGTTTAATCACTTAACCAAACACAAGAAGTCCGTCCATCGTTGTCGATGGAGACCATAACCTCACTGGTTGGTTAAGTGCATAGAAGACAGTTAACAATACCACACGCCGCGTAGAAATTAAACTACAGAGTAGATGGGAAAATACAATCCTATATATGTATCTAATCGAGCTTAGATATCCACACTACGGTCACGGCAATGATTTGCTTCGTTTGTTTGAATTTGATGAAGTATGAACGAGTTTGAGAAGAACTGTTTCGTGTAGGTCTCAAGTTCAAAACGTCAATTCTTTTTACAGATCATCTATCGTCAGTTCTGAGAATTTGACAATATAATTTAGTTGATGACTTTGTTCGTTCTCATCACCTGTCCACTTGTAAATATTGTAACGAGAAATGAGATTTTGATTTCTTCTGGGAATTAAGGAGCTCTGTGAACATAATGTGAAACCATTTTTTTGCAATTTTAAAACAGGAAGTTTGAGCAAGGCGCGACGATGACGGCAACGACAACGTCACCAAACAAAAGGTTTTAAAATGAGTAGAACAATGGCTGTGCTCGTGCATTATAATTCTTGGTACATACCTTAGCCGTCCTCTGCAAAACAACAACGTGAAATGACCAAGTTCTGCATAGTCTGAGGAACGTGAACGACGACGGCTAATGTTTCGTATTTCCATTCGAAATTGAACGCTGTCATTTCATATTTAGCCTGAGGACGTTTTTAGAGCAAATGGCGTACTGAACAGATCTAGACAATGGCAAATTGCGCAAGTAAAATACAAATTCATTTTTTACTCGGCGTCGTCCTCGGCGTTACCGTCGTCGTTACTTAAGCTCTCCAATAACTGAAGAAAAAATAGGTACCCAAAGCGACATGTGTGAGGTACCTCATTTGCATTAACGGACACGAGCCGATGACAATAGTGTTGGATACCACAGGTATCCCACACAAAAAGCACCATACCGGAGTAAAGCAAAGATGTTTAAGGTTAAAAGAGATTCCAGTACTTAATATTTAGTTCTTTTTACTCAAAGGAAACAAGGTGCGGACTAAACTGAAAGCCAAACAAATGGCTGAATGCGATGCTGAGCTTGCAGCAGTGCTGTTCAGTAGACAGGACAAAATAGCTAAAGATGATCAACCAGTGAGAGAGGCTGATGCCATAAGGAAAAGGTTAGTTTGTCTTTTTAGATACTTGCCTAAGTTTGTGCTCGAGTCACTCTAAAGTAATGTCATTTCAATAAAATAGCGAACAAACAAAGAACAATTCTGTAGGAGAGAGGTGAAGACGGATATCTTGGCTAAATTACAATAGGTGTGTTGACTTACGCTTGTTTATCAGAGTGTGCTTAAGGCCGCCGCACACTAGCCGATTTTTTGTCGGCCGACAGAAAATCTTCACTTGTCGGCTAGTGTGCGGTGAATTCAGGCAAGTCTGCGACAAGATCGGAGCTCGTCGGGCGCTATCTGACAGTGCTAGATCTCAAAACCTCTTGTCGGGCCTTTTCGGCTAGTGTGCGGTGGACCAAGACAATTTGTCGGGACACGCGCGCGCCTCGACCAATAAGGAAATGTCATGAGAGTTACGCCAGTGGAATAAGCGCCATCTTGATTTTGGATGACTCGGCCCTAAGCCTCAGCGCGATTAGTCGCGACAAAAAATCGGCTAGTGTGCGGCAGCCTTTAGGAACCACTACTGAATGACGGCTTCTATTGAAGATGTATTTCTAAATGATTTGTGCCAACAAAACTAGGGCCGGTTTCCATAAAGAAAGCTCCTCAAGAAGTTCCCGGAGCTCATTATGAAATTCCACGTATTCATTGTAAAGTTTGGGTGCGCTTACGTGAAATGAAAGCATATGAATGTGTTGCAATGAGTAAATTGTGTTTACACTACCAGAAGCCATTTAGCCAGTTTAAAATCGTTTTCTGTAGTCCATTGCAAAAAGATACGAAACACTTATGCAGTTTTCATACCTAATCGTATCTTTTTTTCCTTTTTCGTACGTTTCGGCGGCATATCAGGCGTGTTTGGGCGAGCCATGGTTCGTATTTTGGCTCGACATACGTCTCGCCAAAGTACCCATGGAGAGACCATATGAGCCTCATATACAAACGAGGCGTACAAAAAAGGTATGATTATTCGTTTACCGTACCAAAATTTGGCCATAAATCGTACCATACTGACTGGGTACTGACTTGATATCACAGGATATCAGGACAGTATAAAAGGCTCCGGATTGGCTATTGTCAATTATGCGTCCGATAATTCTTTGGTGTTACGCTTGCTGTCTCTTTATTCATCATGTTGTGTATTTGTGCGATAGAAAACTTGAAAGAATGCTGGCTGTTCGGCAGATCCAGGGAGCTGATAATTCTACAGGGAATTTAATAGTAAGTTAAGACAACATACAAATAGGCTTTCTAGTTCTTAATTTGTAGACCAATCTGCATTTAGTTTCAGTGTAATGTAATGTAAACAGGGAATCTTTTCCTTGTTAGATTCAAAAAGAGGAAAAGTTACAAAGAACAAGAGACCTCAAAACTATCCAGCTCTACAGGTTGGTAAAATAATCTTGAAACTTTCAGAGCACTTCTCACATTCCAGTTGGAAAGGTCGTTATGCACAGTTCTGACCCCTAACTCTCTGCAGTTACAGAAATGCTGCGCTCACGAAGGAGAGGTTGGCGTTGCGTGACAGAAGGCCAAGCTGTGCTTATGAAATATTACATTACTTGCAAAATGTTTTGGGCGTTTAATTTCGGACACTTTTGTAATCTCATTTCAGACAAATTTCGGACAACAATTTCGCACACTTTGCTGAAACATAACTGAAGTAAATTTACGTCTACAAAGCACGAATTAGACTGAAACAACATCTGTGAAAATGATAGTTTTGCTGCAGCTTCAATGTTAAAGAAATACACCGACGAGTGAATATCACATATGCTACCAAGCCGTTACGTATGTCACGTCATGTCTCAACTAGACTCACTCAGTAAATGAAACTAAGAGCTTAGAAGCTACTTCCAGGTTTTATACTGTACTGTAAATATTTCGGACTCTTAAAATTTCGGACGCTTAAAAATTTCGGACGGTTTTAGTTTCGGACATTTTTTCGTTCGAAATTAAAATCGTGCGAAATTTGTTGCAAGTAATGCATGTTGACTGTTTGTGTGACGCATGGCGATCTTGCTAGTTTGTTTCTTTAAAACACCCTGCTTTCAACTATAGCATTACAAACACCCATTTTCGTTTGTTTCTGTTTTATAGAGAGAAGCTCAGACATGAGAAGATTCTGTCTTCGCTGGCGGGTAACATCACAACCAGTCACACAATCTACCCGTCATTCGGCACAGCGGAATTTTTTGAGTTTGTGCTGAGAAATCCTTACTCCACGGATCAAACTATCACCATTCATTGTGACGACAACGAACTCAAGTAATTGTGCTGACTGTTTTAGCCCCTCACGGGTGGGGTGAGGAGGCGGGGTACTTCCAAGTAATAGGCTAGTAGGGATTTGCCACTTCCGCTGGATGGGGTCGCACTTTTGCGACTGGATTGACTATAAGGGAGTTGCAATTTCAATAGGGTTACTAGAATGGGCTTGCGCCTTTTTCGAGATTCTGGGATCAAAATTCTGGCAAGTGGGGATTTAAAAAGGGGAAGATTCGCGGTGAGAAAGTTGTAACCGTTCTACATTCAGTTTAACTTATGTGTCACCTCTTTACAGGATGACCTAGTGAACAAACTTTACAAGGTAGATTCATAAAACAGAAAACATTGCTAAAACTAAAACTAAAACATGCTAAAACATGCTAAACATTTGCGAGGAAAGCTTGTAAGTCTTTGAAAACTAAGGCCGAACTCAGATTAGATTGTTTTGAATGTACAAAATTAATTAAGTTTTTACATACTCGTGTTTTCCACATAGTTTTTACTTGTAAATTATACTGATATATCTATATGTCTTTTTAATTTTTAGTTAGCATATGAATGAACTACTCTGTAGAAAGTCATCATTAAACCGTTATTATTATTATTATTATTATTATTATTATTATTATTATTATTATTATTATTAAAGTGACTAAGATGAGGTCGCAAAAATTTAATTGAACCCAAAGTAACTAAGATTGGGTCTATCATTGGCCACAGAATAGAGCGGCACATACCCAGATACCCACATACTCAATCAGAATTGCGTGCTTGAAGTTCACGGTGTCTTTCCGGTCTGTAGTAGTGCGATTTATTCGAAGCGTTTTGGAAGTCGTGAAATAAACTGCGTATTAACCAAACTTGCTCGGGAGCTTGCTGGGAAAATGTTGACCCTTGGTCTTTTCTGTACGCACCTCACTGCAGTCAGTCAGTCTTGCCAAGCTCTTAGGCCGATATTCTTGCAGTATGGAAAAACAATTGCAGTTACAAGATGAAAACACTTAAAAACGAAGCATTTGGTCTTTTACAGAGTCATAACAGACACTAGGGAATGGAGACATTTCAAGAGGAAAACTGAGACTCGTTCAGGTGATAAATGATTGTGCTTTATTCAAATTTGGCTTTTTCACAGATCAAGCATCTTCAATTTATCAACCTTAAAAACCTTTCTCTGCGAAATAGCGATTCTTGCACTATGTAGCTTACTATGGCAAAGCCTGTTTATGTGTTATATACAGTGTTTGGTCCGCCCGTAATCCAGTGTTACCCTCTTGTGTTGTGCCAGACGTTTATCAGAAATGTAAAATGTTCATTTACAGCTCTAGAAGAAAACATGTTTGACACCGCCTCTACCAGCCCCTACCCACAAGTGTTCTTAAGGCCCAGGGAGACCGTGCACATCCCGTTCAAGTTCCAGACCTTTAGAGCGGATCAAAGCGTCCCTGAACAGGTAAAGGTTCATTCACTGGGGCATCAAGATCAAATGAGTAACTCTCTGTACTAATTGTTATGAATTTCCCATAATGCTAGTACTGAGAATTTAAAGATTAATCATCCCTCGCTTGATGATTTTTGTTATTCTCTTTACGTGTCTCTTGACAGTGTATTGGTTTTGTAAAGAGAAATTATATGTTCCTGATTTGTCCTTTCTCTCCATAGGGCCCTTCTCACCCGCTCAAACATCAAACCCAGACATATTTAAAGACGAGCACGTCAGAAGAAAACAACCTGAAACCTCGTCAAATTAAGGTGAGAGAGTTCAATCAATCAATCAATCATATTTGACCAATCACAGCAATCGCAAGAATCACAACGAGACAACCGGAACTCGAAATAAAACGATTCAGACAGAACCAAGCGCGGGAAAACCTGCAGACGGTACCGAGCGCGGGAAATCCACGTACGCCAAGGTCGCAAAGTCACGATCTGTTTTGTGTTGGCCCCAATTGGTTAAAAATACAGCTTATTTTGATCTAGTTGGTTAAAGCCGCTGGCATTAGTTGTTTTAGCCAATCATAGATTGTAGAAAATGGAAACCCAAACGAAACGGATTTGACGTTTTGAGAGCTAATAAAAAAAATAAGTCAAACAACTCCGTCTCTGATGGTGATTTTCTAGCCGTGTAAAACAGGGTGCTTTGGGTCCTGAGTAAGTCACTGATGGCAGAATTTGTGAAGTCCTTTTTTCTCCTCGTGGCTGAATATTTTTCTCCCTCTCTTTTGTTTGGCGTTACGATTTTGAAAAAAACCTTGAGTGAAAAAGAACACTGAACTGAGTGAATTGAGCACTGTTAGGAAATGAAATGAAATGTCTTTTAAAAGTGTTACTCTGCTCTACCCCTCCTCAAGGTGTCATTCATGAACAAAGACGAGTGTCCTGTGGCCATCCTGACCGTGCAAGCGGAACCTCGACCTCATGTGGTGGATAGAACATTTAGGTTCTACCACGCAGAACAGTCGTTCTTAAAGAAGACCATCCGGCTGCCTCCTTGGCGATCTCTACCAGGTTAGTAAAAGTCCGTAATGGGCTCTCAGACCCAGATAACACAAGTAGGCATTAGTCTTCCTTTTTTCCTTCGCTCGCGTGACTCTTTCCACGCTTGAGACACGGCTGAGGTATTAGGGACCTTAAGCACCGACGACGATGAGCCCAGAGGACGACGACCGGAAGTAAAATTTCCCCTTACCGCGCTACTGCGCATGCTAGACTCGTCGTCCACGTGAAGGTTAGGACGTCAAAACGCCAGGTTTGCTGTCCTGAGCGAACGTGATTAAGTATTAATCTATTAACGTTTTTGGGTTGCAGGACAACTAGCAATGCCATTTTTTTCAGGTTAATTATATCGTCAGGCTCAAATCTCATACAAGTGCGCGCAAGAATATTTATTAAGTTTGCAAATTCTTCAGATTAATTCTAAATTTGGATAGTGTTGTAGTTAAAAAGTACTTCGGACAGTTCGTGCGCGTACAGTTAACAAAACTAATCCATCCTTTCCAATTTGGAAATAATTGAATTCAAGAATTTTTTGTGAGTGGTAGTGGTAGTCCTCAATTTTCAAATAGACCGGCAATTTTTATTTTTGAGCTTTCTATTGTGTGCTTCGCCTTTTTCTATGGTTCTCCACATCATCTGGCAATGTGATTTCCAAGCAGCGCCCCGACGCCAGGGCTCTTCCAGGCACAAGCCATATTTCGAATTTTGGAGGGCATTGCTACCAGAGATCGTGTATGGCGATTTGTTTGTATTGCGGGTTATTCCTAACTTGTGTGAAATGTTCTGAAGGATTAATACGCGACTGTGTTTTACGCAGGAGCGCCGGTGATGGACGAAAATACCCAACCACAAGTTCACGTGCGATGTAGCGACGTCAATGCTGTTTGTGAAGCCAGAAAAATGGTGTGATCTTCTTTGACTCTTACAGCGGATCATGTATTTGGTTATATTTAGGTTTTTCATGAACTTGTTTGATCCTGAAACTGCCCACTTACTAAACTTGCAGTAGTCAAGAAACACCGAATTTTTCTTCTGTTTATAAGGAAAACGAGTGTTTTGTCGCGTCTTTTTGCTTGATATCTAAGTATGAAAAAGTAAGAAAAGCTATTAGTGACACGGAAACCTGAGCCACTTGTTCATAAGCAGTTTGAAGCGATCAGGAATAGTCCTCTCTCCCTTCCCCACTCTGGATGGAATGCTAGCTCACCGCAAGGTTGCCCCACCCCCCAGCACTTAATTCGCTGGTACCCATTTATACACGGGCATTGTGCAAGTTAGTGTCTTGTTAAAGAACACAACACATTGACCCCGACCAAGGCTCGAACCCAGAGCAATAGATCCGGTTTCCAGCGCGCTAACCATTAAGCCACCGCAACTCCATCACCAAATAATCTCTCTTTTGATTTTGTAGCCGTCAGGTGAACCACAGGACGTCTTTCTCAAGATCGCTTGTGGACCTTCACCTTCTGTCAAAAGGTTTTTCGTTCTTCTGTACATGTAAGTCTGCACGGTGAATAGTTTCAATTGAATGCCTTCTACAAGAGTTCACTGAGTTTGTTTCGTTGCCGGTTTGCTCTCTAGAACTTGTTGTTTTATTTTTTGTAGAGATCCTTTCCTCGCTGAACCTTGTCAAACATGGCAGCTGTATGTTCATTCATTACAAAGGTACGAAGAAGATATATTTTAGCTTCATCCATTCCTGGTTGTCATTATCACGAAGCTTACAGTAACCATTTCGATCGATCCGTGATCGAAACAAGCTGACTGTTAATTGCCTATCAATGTAGAATAAATCTTCTTTTATAGTTTCACTCGAATGCCTTGCAATTATCTTTATCTTTCATATCTGCGCATGTTTTTTTTTTTTCACTATGTAACTTCTATATGTTGTTAGCATGTTACCATGTTAAACTTTGTTTAACTATACGTAATACCTTTTGTAACCTGCAGTGCAGGCGTTATTTTGGAACCGAACGCTCGATTCCCCCAGAAAATGTTTCCTTGCACCAACCTTCCACAGTTACCAAATCTAAAGTGGCGGCCTGATACGAAATTGTACACTCGCGCGCCCAAAATACGTTTTGCAACTTTGTACCATGCCAAAATTACAATGTATGTTGTACAAAAAACGAGAACACAGCCCAGCCTAACAAGGCTCTCCTTGCACTCTGTCCCCGTTTGTTTGGCTCATAGTTTGTCATTTGTTGTTGCAGAATTGACATGAGCGCTGTACAAGGTCAGAGCAGTCGTCTGTCGGTGATTTTACGTGGGACCCAGTCCAGTCGCCTTGTTCAATGCTTTTCATCTCACCCCGAGGAACTACAGGTGATGCACGTATTCAATTTGTTTTTAAAATTAGGTGGAAACGATTTTTGAATTATTTTTGTCGTTTGGCCAAAAGAGCAGCATAGTTTTCCAAACATCGATGTCGCCTGTATTTCATTAGGGAGTTTAAGTAACCACGACGGGGACGCCGAGGACAACGTCGATTAAAAAATGACTTTATATTTTACCTACGAATCTCGCGATACTCTACAGTCATTTACTTTCTTTATCACTGACAAAACTTTCACAAAACTGAATCTGGGACACAGCGATAAACTTTAAATAAAATTTCAAAAAAATTAGCCGTCGTGGTTCACGTTCTCCAGACAACGCAGAATTTGGTCATTTCACGTTGTTGTTTTGCCGAGAACGGTAAAGAAATGTACCAATAATTATAACGCACGTGCACAGCCATTGTTCTTCTGATTAAATCTTTTGTTTAGCCACGTTCCCGTTGCCGTTGCCGTCGTGGTTTTCTTAAACCCCCTATTAGCAGCCTCAAAACGGTTGATAAACCTTTGTTGTGGTAGATATATTACATCAAACACTATCACCACATTTCCAAACACCTCGGATCTCGTCAAAAATACTCCGCTGCGCATCGTTTTTTCAACTCTCTTTTCTCTTGTTTGAAATGTGATCAAACGAGGTCTTACGTGTTTGATGTCTTACTTTAAACACTGACAAAAAGAACAGGAAAATTTCCTGATGATTTGTAAATTAGCCACAAACTAACACTGATAATAATCCACACAGTATTTACGGTGTACGAAATTGTTTAGTACTTATTGTTTGTTTGTTCGTGGCAGGTTTCGCCGACAGATCCAATCATGTTAATGGCTAATGCTGTTCAGGAAGTTCATCTCACGCTTCGGCCCCACACATCCGGGAGCACGCGTTATATGTATGTTAACGTAGTTGGTATCCTTTGTTGTGACAACAACAACAACAACAACAACAACAACAACAACAACAACAACAGCAACAAACTCGTTTGGAATCGAATGTGTTTTCGACCTCTTATTTTCTAACACTTGTACTTTCCCTGTCAAACTCGTTAGGTGATTCATTCTCTGAAAAGCGCGGGAATTTTCCCGCTTAAGTTGGCAACTGGTGCCACATTGCGTGAGGATTTGCTACAGTTACAAAAATGGGGTTGAGTTTAGTTTTGCCTCCGCCGTCAGCTAAACTTGCGTGAACTGGTTTTCTAAGCAATTCTAGTTTTATTCTGCATGCTCAATTCAATTCTACTCTGTAATTTTTCTGGTAACGGACGATGACGGTAGAGGCTCTCGAAACATGTCTTCCTCTAAACTTGGAAATGTAGAGCTTTCTCTACATTTTTTCTCAAGCTGCTTAGACTTGAGAAATGGTTCAAAATCTTGTCTCTGGAATCGGATTCCTTAACCATGCATCTCAGATGTTGAATTTCATCAACTTGTGAGAACATGGCTGGTGTGTGCCTCTTGTCAAATGCCCGTCATTTCCAAATCGTTTGAGCTCCAAATCCAAGTTGGCGGAGGAAAGGGTTCGAACAAGGTGAGAGTTTTTTTTATTGTTCTCTGAAAATTCAAACATCTTGTACACCTCAACTAGCCATTGAGTTCACGATAAATTATCGCTGAGTTAGCCGAAGAATTCACTGTCCAATCAGATACAATACGAGCCGTCCGAACGTTTTTACAGTACACAGCCTGGCTGCCGTCATCAACATGGCGATTTCTGACGGTTTTCTTTGCCTGGAGGTTTGCAAAACAGATTGAAGAGTTAAAAAAAAAAACGTGCAAAAAAACTTTTCTAAGAAAACGATATACAAAGAGTAGTTGCAAACCAAATTGCGAGCTGATGAAATAGGTGGACAACAGTCAGAACAGTGCAGAACCTTTGATTTGGGCAGTTTTGGCGGGAACTGTGTGCGTGTAATGCGTGTGAAGGCTTGGTCACGGCGATGAAACGAATTACGGTTCCTGCAGTTCCTGCAGAAAGAACCGCTGCCTAACCCAATTGTTGTTATGAAATTCTCAAAGTTCAAACCGAACGTAAGTTTTGTAGCTTGAATACATAGAGAGCTTGCTTACAAATGTTTATCCTGGAATTTGGGCGAAGAGATTGACCGGATTGGTCCGCTCCACTTCTTCAACCCCCTCCCCCCGGGTCATCGTGCTGTATTTTTCCGAACATTGTTACAAATTCATTCAATGTTCAAAGCTTTGAAAACCCGGAGAAGCGATATTTTTATCGTTTTTGGTCGTTTTGCCGCAGTAAAATCACTATCAGACTACAGATGTTAAGCCGTGTTGCTTGGTGAAAACCATGTGATTCAGCCAAATTCCAATCGAGAATCCCTGGACTTGTTATGTAGATGTAATACTAGTGTTCGCAGTCGTTGTGCGTCTTTCCATTTGGACGAAACGAATCGGAAAGTACCAGGAACTGACTAGAGAAAGATGACCCTCGCTCCCAGATATGAAAAGCGCATACCTCTTCAGTTTAAACTAAAATATTTCTGTTCCATTTTCTTGGCAGCGTGTATCGTTCGCTAATCCTTATCCAACGAAAAAGACATTCCATTTGAAGTGTAACAGGCCAGATTTACTACAATTCAAAGAAAACATCATTGAGGTAACCACTAAATTTTATTGACCTAGCGTGAGGTCCTGTTGGGGAAATATTGGTCGAGTTATTTTTTGCAAGTTTATGGACCTCGCTTGCGGCTCGATGTCAGACCAATATTCCCTAGTACGGACCGAACAAGGGATAGTAGTTCAATAAAGTGCTTATTATAACGGATACTTTTAAATTCTGCTGATAAATTAATGCGTTAATTCTCGGTAAACGCGCTCGCCAATGTTAGGCAGATATTTGCATGTTTTAGGCCGCTTTTGTGACAGTTTTTAACCGAAATTATCCTCCAGACATAAAGCAAAGTATAATTCTACTTAAGAAGAAACTGTTTTTTTTCTGTCGCAATGTTTTGGAAAAGCACCTTGCCGAAGCTTTTTCTGAGTGGTCAATCTTAGCGGTCCGTATTGCAAAACTCTGACAGTTCAGGAAACCAATCAGAAGCCTCCTTTTTGTCGTGGGTCAGTTTGCATATAATTATAAAACTTTTTGCTAACGTGCAAGTTTGAAAGATTAATGATTTTTGTCGTGTTTGCGTCTTTCTATAAATGAATCATCACGGTAAAAAACAAAGCCTTAGAGCTTGTAGACTGGCCTGATAATTAGAATGTTTTGTTCATCGTTGTTTTCTATCTCCAGGTTGGTCCTGGTGAATCGCATAGTATTGGACTTCGATTCACTCCGCAACAGTTTCCTGGAAAAGCTGAAATATTCATCTTCATCAACGACTCGGAGGACAAAAATGAAGAAACTTTTAGCATCAACGCGGTCTACACATAGCGCTATATACGTACGTCGTTTGGTTTGCTTACTTCTGTACTTTTTGTGTTTATTTACCTGGAGAGGGCGCGAGAGACATCGTGTGACACTTCGTGACTCTTACATCATGTTAGAGTCGAGTCTAGCCCGCGAAGTGTAGCCGGATTTTGCGAACAAAGGCTTATGGGAACCTTTGCAATTGAGCCGTTTATCAACGGTACACAGTACTCACTAGTTTTCAGGTTTATTTCGCAGCTAAACCTCTCTCTAAACTCACAGTATGCTCACAGTTTAACTCGCTGCTTCGTCTCTCCAGTTTCNGTATTGGACTTCGATTCACTCCGCAACAGTTTCCTGGAAAAGCTGAAATATTCATCTTCATCAACGACTCAGAGGACAAAAATGAAGAAACTTTTAGCATCAACGCGGTCTACACATAGCGCTATATATGTACGTCGTTTGGTTCGCTTACTTCTGTACTTTTTGTATTTATTTACCTGGAGAGGGCGCGATAGACATCGTGTGACACTTCGTGACTCTTACATCATTTTAGAGTCGAGTCTAGCCCGCGAAGTGTAGCCGGATTTTGCGAACAAAGGCCTATGGGAACGTTTGCAATTCCCAGGACTTTTGAAACTAATTTCTTGTTTATATTTGCAGGTCCGCAAAGAAGCAGCGACTTTAGATTGGATAATTACAGCTCAAGATCAAAGACACAGCTTATTTTCAAATGCTAAAATTGGATATTTAACTTTGGACTCTAGTTTCGTGACCGTACGCAAATATTTATTAATAAAGTATAGTTTATGGCTAGTTATTTTTGATCTCCCACTCCTTTATACTTTGAATGTTATATGTTTTCCTTTGAATGGTGGTAGTAGTGGGGGACTATACATAAGCTTAAATCAACTACTAGTAAGTGTTTTATGTGGATATTTAATACACAAAACTGTCAATCCTCCTGGAGGCATCTTCAACAAGAGGATAAAGAAACTTTGTTTTGTCATATGTGCAAAGATAAATTTTTCTAGAGCCAGCCATTATGTTTAAAGCAAATGCTAAATCACGAACTGGTATTTTAAGAGACTATGGGCTT